CTGTTGGGGCTACCTTGCTTTTGTAGCGCTTTTAGCATGTTTGCTCAATCTCGCGTAGATGATTACTACGCTATAAGGAGAAAGAGAACTGCATCATTGCTACACAGGGTTTTTTTTTAATGGGTGATAATGGAACGGTAACCCCGCCTGCGGTATCAGGATACGCTGGCGGGACACCAGTGAAAGATGATAGGTGAGGATGAAGTAGGTCAGTTGGCCCATCGTGACGAATTCAACAAGAATTGTACACGATGGTTTCCAGGGGAACCACGTGGAGGTCGACCTGATAGGGCATATTGCTAGCAATGGGGCTGTCAAACTCCATTGGTAACAATCCCTTTCCCTACTGCTACACAGGATTAGGACAAACACCAACAGCATTCTAAAAGTAATAGGCGAGAAATATAACTCGCCTATAATTGGGCATTTCATTCAGATGCTGTTCTAGGCTGGGTCATCTGAATGAACTGCTATAATTAATTTGCTTTTCTTTTTTACTAACATAGTTTGTAAGAAAACTGTTACTAACAAAATGGACCAAATTGTAGTCTGAATAATAAATTATATTATTATTATTAATGGTGATTTGATAACTCATCTTTCCTTCCTTTTCTATAACATAATATCTATTTGCAATTATATCACTACGTAATATAAAACAAAGTCGCTTCCTCTCTATCTGTCCTTATGTTTGCTTAGTTCTCTAAAACTATGCAACGGATTTTGATGTGTTTTTTTTCTTTTAATAGATAGTGTAATTCAAGAGGAAGGTCCGACTGTCCGACTTGACTCACTGAAACTGCGCAGAGATGTTGCATCTCTGTGCATCTTTTACCGAATTTATCATGGGGTGTGTTCTGAGGAATTGTTCGGATTGATACCTGCTGCTGATTTTCACCACCGTACAACCCGCCATAAACTAAAGTTTCATCCATGTCACAGCATAATCCAAAAGTCACTGAATAACTCTAAGGCTTCAAACAAGCGTTTTTACACTCTCCCTACACCTACTATTAAAACTAGTTTTGCCAGACGCTTCTCTCCCTGTATGATCCCATTCATATATAATAAAATTTGCAAAATTTACAATCTAAAGAACTGTACCCTAAAAGAAACAAAATCAAAAGTAAGCGAACATCTGAAATCTATGAATTATGACGATACTGAAAACATGCTCCTGTTAATCATATGAATGAAAATACTGTTCACGTACATATAAAAACACATACAACACACACACACACACACACACACACACACACACACACACACACACACCACATACACCACACACCCACGCATGCACACACACACATTCATAATACTTATTTATACATGTGTATTGGTGGTGAGATCTAAACGAAATAATTGCATTATACAAATTAGTTACACAATTGTGAATACTGCTAAAAAGCCTATGTTTAATATCTATATGCATGTATAAGATAACACGAGTACTGCTTCCTGCAGGACAGGCTCAGCTAAGTGTAGGAAGCAATGATAAATTCTGTGCCAATACAAACATACTTTGTTAAATAAATATATCTTAATAAATAGCTTAAAATATCATTGTAATTATTTCTTGTAATTGTTTGTATCTTTAATAAGTTTACTATTGTAATCTTTTGGAGGAAACGATAAAGAGTATCTATCTATGTATTAAATTTTAAATTAACGCATTCGAAGAAGCGGGCAGAAAGGTAGACATACCATTATATTTAAATCTATAATCCAAATTTTTATATTTAATTTTAATTTAATTTCAATACAATACAAATTTATTTAACATACATTCTTACAAAGTGTTTGATTGTGGCATTTAACAGTTATGTTTAAAATTTTTAGATTTGATTAATTAATTAATTTATTTATCCTGTGATTCCAATGGAGTGTTGGCTACCCTGTGTCGAGAGCTAGGCTTTAAATTTCCGTTTTTTCAAAATCCGGAGAGAGGAAATGTTTGTAGATGTTACGATACAAGACTATCCAATGCAGCACTGAAGCACGACAGATCTCATCAATGGTTGACCTAGTAATTCTGGCCAGCGCTATTAAAACAGGATATTGTTTTAACAGCATATTTTTTAGACATAACAGTGGCTGCGTGGTCAGAGGGTCTACCATTAAACGTTTTCTGAAATTTTGGAAGCGAACGAAACACAAATTTGATGTTAAAATTATATGTACCGTTTAAATATATTAAAAAAAATGTTAAAATACTTGGACTTTTATGATAGGATTTATGACGAACGAAATACAAGTGTTAAGCTCCATTTACTGGGCCACAGAAACATAAAAATGGGTCCCAAAAAATGAAATTTCATTTCATGGTAGACCCTCAGGTAATATTGATTAACAGAAATAAAAATAATACACACCACTCATCTCATATACCAGAAGGAGACTTTGTACAAAAGTCGATTGCTTGGGTACCTCTGTCCCATTCGTGTTTCTACCGTGTCACGTCTACCAAGCGTGGTAACTACTGATAAATCCCATTCAATAGGAGGAAGCCTGTTTTCAGCAGTGAATATTAACAGCTGACATCGTTATGATTATAGTACTCGTATTTGAGTTTTTTTTTATACAACATAGAATGGCAAACAAGCTGACGGCCCACCTGATGGAAAGTGGTAACCGTCGCCTATAGACATGAGCAGTACCATGGAAATAACAGAGTATACTGTTTCGCTCTTGATATCCCCATGCGTTGCCATTCCTGAGGACTCAGGTGTTATTCCTCTGTACCCAGTAAATTCACGCCATATCCCATCCTTCAAACTGAAACAGCCATGCAAACACAACTGCTTCACGGTTCAAACACGAATGGGACAGAGGTACCCAAGCAATCGACTTTTGTACAAAGTCTCCCTCTGGTAAATAGATAAGTATGTATGTAGAAATATTTCAACTTCACGTATCTAAATTCATAATCTGTACTAAATAATAAGTACCGAGTCGTATATTCTGATGCCAAGTTCTTATCTCAGCGCTCGCTGGATGACACTTGTGCCAAAACGGAAAGTGTAAGAATCGCCCGCCTCCCACTCCACTTTTATCTAAATCCGTATATTATTTTAAGCATTAACATGCAACTCCAAACGCGAACTATATATTTTCTCGGAATTAAGGTACCTATAGCTTAGATAACTAGCTATTTGCACGCTATTTCGCATGCGAGAATTTTATAAATAAGTACATACATACACTAGATTTTAAGCTAGACCATCAGAAATATAAGTGTAAAGTTTGTGTGTTTTATTGAAACAAACGTACAGACAGATAAGCAAAAATTTAAAAAAAATATATTGTTTTGGACTCTATTCGTCTTAATAAGATCCCTCATATTTTTTTTTATAATATTATCCATGTACAGACATCTAGTTACAATATTTTTTTTAATACAACTCAGAATGGCAAACAAGCTGACGGCCCACCTGATGGAATGTGGTAACTGTCGCCTATAGATATGAGCACTACCATGGACATACCAGAGTATACTGTTTCGCCCTTGATATTCCTCATGCGTTGCCATTCCTGAGGACTCAGGTGTTATTCCTCTGTACCCTGTTAATTCACTGCCATATCCCACCCTTTAAACCGAAACACAGCCATGCAAACACAACTGCTCCACGGTAAAAATACGAATGGGATAGAGGTACCTAAGCAAACGACTTTTGTACAAAGTCTCCCTCTGTTTTAGTACTATTACTTATACTGTAATAATATCCCCATTTCTTGATTTTACAACTAAATTGTTTCTACATCGTAATACCTTGAAATAAATTGAATTTCCAATTAAATTATACAAAACATGTCAAGCAGACGTAAAGACGTAAACAGAAATAACGTAGGTGTGGCATTAAAGTGTATATTCCAATTGTTTTATCCAAGTTTGTAATGGATGGTTCACCATAAGTTGCAAGCTTTAGTCGCATTTAGACCCCGTCAAACAGTTTGATCAGACCGGAACAGATTAAATTAGTAGGTTTATGTAATCCGGTCGGTTCAATTAATTCTGATACGCAAAAATAATACAACTCAATGCCAGTATTTACTTTTATTTATGTCTATATTATATACAACTTAGAATGGCAAACAAGCTGATGGCCTACCTGATGGAAAGTAGTAACTGTCGCCTATAGACATGAACAGTACTATGGACATAACAGAGTATACTGTTTCGCCCATGATACCCCCCATGCATTGCCATTCTTGAGGACTCAGATCTTATTTCTCTGTACCCTGTAAATTCACGCCATATCCCAGCCTTCAAACCGAAACACAGCCATGCAAACATAATTGCGTCACGGTTGAAACGCGAATGTGACAGAGGTACCTAAGCAATCGACTTTTGTACAAAGTCTCCCTCTGTCTATACTAGTTGTATAATGATGAATTTGTATTACGTATTCATTGCTGTCAATATCTGAACTTTAGCAACATGGATTTTAATTATTTTATATATCAATTAACCTGACTTTATAGACACTCACTATTATATGTGGTTTCTTTCATACATGTGCTTATATTACTTGCATACACCAACTCTAACTTGCCTACCCTCGCTTTGGAATTGTAATTTTCGTTTGTATAAATAAAATCCGTTATTGGCTATATTCATAAGACTTTTTTTTATACAACTTAGAATGTCAAACAAGCTGACGGCCCACCTGATGGAAAATGGTAACCGTCGCCTAAAGATATAAGCAGTACCATGGACATAATAGAGTATACTGTTTCGCCCATAATATGCTTGCCCATGCGTTGCCATTCTTGAGAACTCATTAAGTTGTATAAAAAAAAAACTCGGTTTTTTTTTTAATGGATGATAATAAAATTGATAGCCGTCAAGGTAAGGTAAGGTAAAAAACATTCACTTTTATATTAATAATATAGTAAGTATACACAGTGTTTCTTTAAGTTGAATATTACCAATTTATTTTCGGTCAGCTTGTTTAACTTTCAATTTGTAACGAACATAAAAGAAACAAAAGAGATTATATAAAAATATGTTTAATTCTAGCTTAGTATACTTTCTTTTATAATTAAAATAAACTTCTAAATATATTTACACTAAACTAGATTTATAACAATTAATATTTGGCACTTTTGTAAAAAAAATCTAACAATAAATATTACAATTATTTATACAAAATTGTATTATTGGAATTAAATTGACTTGTTATGTTTATCATTTCTTCTATATTTGCAATCGCAATGCGAGGTAACGCTGTAACGTAAGCAATTGTACTCAGCATGAAGAAGAATTCCGTATGGAGTTGAAATAATTGTCAGAAATAAGAGACTCTTATATTCCTAATATTCAGTCATATATATGTATATATATTTAGGAAGGTGTATATAATTTCTTATTATTGGAATACAGATATGGAATTTAATAATAAAAAGTTATTTTTGAGTTTTATCTTTAGCTATAGAGTTTTTACCTCGAACGAAGTTTTTATTCAGCGTCTCAAAGGTTGTCTGTAAGAGATCCATCTGTGGGATAAATCCGTTATTGTAAATTATATTTTTTTAATCTACCCGATGTAATATATATATATATATATATATATATATATATATATATATAATAAAGTACCGCGTTCGTGACTCAGTGTTCATCCCAAAGGTTGACTAGTAGAGAATGCTACTACCATTGAGTCCTTTTGTACCATCCTTTTTTTTTTGGTCAATAAAGTTATTTAAATTAATAAATGTAATATTTAAAATAATGTGGAAATTATTTCTAGTAAAGTAAATTAACTAATAAACTACCTTCCATCACTAATACATGTTTATAATTAAAGTTCCTATTCTGTTTTTGGGTTCCACACCCGACCAGCTTGTTACGAACCCAAAAATTGTCATAAATAGAAACCCAACCTTTCAACTTCTCAAACTAAATAAAGTTAAATTAAACTTCAAATTTACATAGGCTTATGTAAATATTTGGCTTATAGATGACTATTTAAAAATTAATATAAAGTTAGTAGTTGCTACACTTGGCAGGCAACCGCAGTTTGGCTTTTGGAGATGTTTTAAGAGGGCTACTGCTGTCCATCCCTACACCACAAGCTCCCTTAGTCGTCTCTTACAACATCCACCATCAGGATGCTGGCGCCATCGCCACACAGCAATTGTACTAGCACCAAGCATTTGTACTATTTATAACACAAAAAGAGAAAAAAAAACAAAATACAAGGTCACAGTAAACTTAATAGTCGAGAGACGAGCCCTTGACCATTAAGTTACCTTAATTACCTCTCACGACACCCACGGTAAAGGAAGGGGTGGCCTATTCTATGCCGGGATCTACATGGCGCTAAAAATAGATGAATGTATAACTATACATGTATTTAAAAATTAATATATAATAACTTATATCTTTCACGCTTGTCTATCATAAGTACTCTTAGCGGAAATAATGGAACGCCAAATGCTTCGATTCAAACAAGCCTCTTTCGCTTTCTCCACATTCATCAGTTATTTCATACAAACTACGAGTACATGCGTTTCGAGTTATTTAGTTGCTAAATAATTTCAATTCAATAAACACAATAAGTAATAATGCAAATTTGCTATTCAAATTAGGTACAAACTTTTTGCTCGCTACTTCGTACGTGTGGATATCAGAAGACATCATCATTATCTTTCTACCTTTGTCCCAATTCTTATTTGGTGTCGGCGCAATATGTTCTTCTCTTTTATTTAAAGCTTCACTATTCGCAGTAATTTCCGTATTTATATCCATTCGGGCCGTATCATCTTTCACACATTCTATCCAAGTCTTTTTAGGTATTTCTCTGCCCTTATAGTCATCCACATTCATACTTAATACCTTTTCTAATACATCCTCCACATTTCTGCGCGTCACATGTCCATATCATGAATATTAAAAGTAGGAAAACTAAATAAAATAATACTAGATGAAGTATAATGATAAAACATACACCAGTTTGTAAGTTAGCATTCAATTTGGTGCTGTAGTTTTTGCATGATACCAGGTCAAACATACAGAATAAAAATTATTGTATTGCCATCTTGTTGTCTTTATTAGGATCTCTCATATTTTCTTTCTCGTCATTTATAGAAGTATAAATTATAATTTGCATTTTTTTTTCAAACTGAATATGGAGCTGTTTACTTATCCAATAAGAACAATCTGGTATCACGTATTCAAAGCAAATAAAATTTATTATTATTCGTATTTTTTCTAAATGGTCTTTTCTTCATAACGGTTTGACTGATTTGAATATTTCTTTTTTGTTCAGTTTGTCTAAAATGTGGTTACCTGTTTAAAAAAAAAAGTAAATTAATAACCCTAAAGTTAAAACTAGAATTAGGTATGGAAATGGCTACTTCAGACTACTTTCAATTAATAGCGTTGCAGGTGATACAAAGTTCATCGTGTCAACTTGATCTTCACTGTCATCATCTTGTTCTTTCAATAAATATCTTTTCTCTTAATCTGAATCTAATTCAATTAAATCTAGTATATTTTTTGTTTCTTGTGCTGCAGAGTGTCCTGAAACGCTAGGTTCCTTTGACTGGTTCTCCGAGTCGCTACTTTCTTCTGATTTGTTTCCCGAAACATTATTGTCTTCTGTTTGGGCTGTTTCCTCTAGAAGCCTCTTTAATTCTTCTTTCTGTTGTCTTTTGAAAAATCCCAACTGTAATTTGAACATTTTTATTATTGTGGTTTTGTTTATGTATAGTGTATGTGCATTAATGTTTACTTCAGTAAAATAAAGAGGCGAATATATATATTTTTTTATATACACGTAAAATTTTTCGAAATGATGCATAGAGCCACCTATCGCTCTTCCATCACTTCCATTTATGTCATATGTAGTAGTTTGATCATCTTAGTGTCTTGAAATGACTTAATACGTGTGGAACAGGAAGCCAAACCATATTTTTAATATGTCAGTAAAATAAGTGACAGCTTTGACAGCTGTCATTAGTTCGATGACAATCGAAACGCTATTGTATATTTTATGGATTATAGTAAATTTTATCAAAAACAATAATATCAAAATATAAATTCTATATTATGTATTATTTTATATATTCATAGAAAATATACATTTAAGATTTTTGTATTGATATTTATTACTAACGCATATTGTGTTGTCTTTTTCAGCTTTATACCAAAAAGTTCAAAGTTAGACCAGTGGTTAAGTTATAATTTCTATCTCCAGTACGAGCCTCTTATACATGACGCTGGCAGAAATGGTCGTAAAAATAGCAATCGATTGCCATTAACGAAAAGAAAAAGAAGAAGAAGAATGCTATTGATTATTATTATCGATATTTTGCTCTCAATCGTTTTCGCGGTATTTTTTGTACACAAAATATAGGATTATCGTATTGTTAAAGTTTTAAACTTTACTTCTGACCCATTTAAAAATTATAATGTTGTATATACACTCACCTTGTACATAATAAGTATCAATATAATCAGGATCAATAACCCGCCAATTGCGGCTGCGATCAGCGGCCATATTGGTGACGGGGGTTCCAGTATCAAAGTTGTTTTCACAGACACAGTTCTAAACAAAATAAACAATGTATGTATGAACATGACTGTAATTGTAAATAGGGTAGTCAGAGGTATTTATCAACTGTTACCGCTATTGTAAACAAAATATTACTAATATTAAGTTAAATAATATACATAATATATACAGTTTGTAAAGATGTGTGTTAGAGTTAAATTTGGTTAATAGTTGGATGGTGGGTATTTAAATATAATATAATAATAATAATAATAATAATAATTTATTTCAAAAATAAATGTTACATTTTAAATATAGGTAAAACTCTGCTCCCTAAATAGGTAAATCCTGTACTTTAGGATAAGCAGTGCTCTTCCCTATATGGCACAATGACACAAAATTACACAAATAAAGAAACAATACAAGTTAAGGTACTAATACTTAATTTACAATTTATAAACAATACAAATTAAGGTACTAATAAATAATTTAATTTGCCCAAAACAATATTTTGTAAATGAAATCTTGACTGTGTAATTTGTGAATGTATGGAATGGATGATAAAATGGCATTCATAACCTAACATACTACTAATAACAAATCCTCAGTTTCATCATATGTCTTACTTAATAGCCAATTACTAACAATTCTTTTGCATATATGTTTAGTTTTTGAATATATAGATAATTCCTTATTTGCCTTTTTATATAAATATGGTCCCAAAAATAATAAAAACTTCCGAATAAATGATGTGTGAAATTTATTATAACTTTTTAAAGCTTGAACATCATTAACTCTTCTTTTATGCTCAGAAATATTTGCATCAAACTGATATATAGAATGTTGTTTACTTATAGTATTAAGAATATATAATTTACGGACAGAAAGAACATTACATTTTTGGTATAGCAAGTTTGTGGGATATTGAAAATCATAGAAATTAATAACCTTTAAAACAGCTCTCTGTGCAATCTCAAGATTTATTAGAACTGTCTTAGGAGCACCACCCCAAGCAACTATACAGTAGGTCAAAAGGGACTGACACAATGTAGTATAAGTTAGTTTTAGAATTTTCATATCTGCAACTTGCCTCAGACGTTTGAAAATGTAAATAAGTTTCCTAATTCTACAAGTTAATTTATTTATATGCTGTTTAAATGTTAAATTATTATCAATAAATACACCTAAATATTTTATTAGCTGTGTTCTTTCCAAAGATTTACATGAGCATGTTCTATTGTTTTTTAGATGTAATGGTAAACAAGTATGGGCAGTAATACATAAATTAACAGACGGTTGAGTAGACTCCCGGATGGAAAATGCAAGATATTTAGTTTTTTCTGTATTTAGAGATAGAGTATTATTAGTAAGCCATTGTGTGACTTCATTAATTCCCTCATTTGCAGCACGAAATACCTCCTCCCAAGTATCTGCAGTGAAAAGGAGAGCCGTATCATCGGCATAACATATGATATTACCATGGAGGGGTTTCAGTTTACATAGATTATTTATATAAATTAAAAATAAAGTAGGGCCAAGAATACTGCCCTGAGGGACACCATAGGTTATGGGAAGAGGTTTACTCCTATACTTGCCTATTGCAACCATTTGTGTTCTATTTGAAAGATAACTCTCAAATAGTGCAAGCTGAGTACCCCTTATTCCACTTTTCTCCAGTTTATGTAAAAGTGTAGTAACAGAGACCGTGTCAAAAGCCTTAGCAATGTCCAAGAAGATCCCCAGGCATTTTTTACCCTGATCTAGGCTACTAGATATAAAATTTAACATCTCTTCCACTTCCATATATAGGATATTTTATGTGCCTACTCGACATGAGTAATACAGTTACTGATCCAATATTTATATATTGGATTTCTCTGGACATTGATGTCTGAAAAAAGGTCACCACCCATTTCGATATCACGCATATCGGTCGGATATCTATTTTCGAATGTCTTAAAAGTCAGTTATTTAATATTATTTTTTTAATAACAGACTTTTAACATATTCCTTATTGGACCGGTATCCAGATATTGTAACTAAAATATATTATATTTAGATATTGCTGTATACGAGTATAACACAGCCCTAGTACCTACAGACTCACGTGAGCAAAATTGCGGGAAACAGTGTAATTTTATCTTCATCATCACCTTCCTGCCCTTATCCCAAGTATATAAGTTTTGAAGTCGTCATAATATGTTTTTATCCATATGACCCAAGGTTTTGGCTATTAGTATTACAACTGGCCGTCTGCCTGACATCAACCCTTCTTAGGAAACTAGTGTAAAAAATTTTGAAAAAAATGTAACTTACTCATATTGTTCCTTTGTTAATAATTCGAGGCGAGAAGTCAAGTTAACTGTATTATTTGGTTGTAACAATTCTCCTGAAATGTTGTAATTTTTTAATTGACTCATAGAATGACAATAGGATGTTCTTGTTTAAACTATAGCTGACTTTGTAGAGCTGGATGATAAAAAAAGCATTAGAAAACTACCAAAAAGAATATTATTTTTTACACTTTCGCCCTCCATAGCTTATTTTTTATAAACATAGGATTTTAAACATTTTATTTCTATCATATTCTTAGGTTAAGGTTCGATGATACTAACATCTAAATTAAATAGAAGTTTATAAAAAATAATTAAGAGAAAATAATAAAAAAAAAAATCTTACCAAACCGACTCAAATTGTAATGTAGGGGCAAATAGAGTGATTTAGTATTTCCAGCGAATATTGTCCAAATGCAATTTAGTTTGTGATATTTTGTAGTACAACCAACAATTGGAACTGCTACGTTTATCTGAAAAATAATAGTGTTTTGTAATTAACTAGCTATTGCCCGCGACTTTGTCCGCGTTTCCGTCATTTTTTGTAAAACAAGTAGCCTATGTCCTTCCTCACGGTTCAGTGGTTTTGATGCGACAGACACATTTCCATTCACTGCTCTGCTCCTATTGATCGTAGTGTGATGAAACGTATACTATAACCTGCCCAGGAGTATGAATATTAAATTGTACACTTTAAAATTGTTAAATTGTATTGTGTATTGAAACACGAATGGGACAGAGGTACCCAAGCAATCGACTTTTATACAAAGTCTCCCTCACCCGCTGAATAGTTATTTTGGAAATATATTTCATGTACAGAATTGACCTCTCTACAGATTTATTATAAGTATAGATTATGTTACGAGTGTCCATAACTTTTGCTTACCGAAGCATACCCACGCGGCGATTTTTACAACGATATTACATTTTCATTTACACTTAAGTATACATAAGTATATAAAATAAATATTCATCATCATCATCATCACCTCAGCCATTATTCGTTCACTGCTGAACATAGGGCTACCCAATATGCTGCCATGAAGAACTGTCCTAAGCCGCTTGCGTCCACTGACTCCTGCAATGCATTTGAGGTCGTCCCTCCATCTAGTGGGGCATCGTCCTACTAAGTAATTTGAAGCGTTTGCATATGAGAAAAATAAACATTAATGACTATCATTTACATGCTGATGATGTTCTTACCTGTTCTGATAATGATATCGTAACGTTTAAGTTGTACCAGTCAGAAGGTCCAAAATTCGTTACCTGTAAAGTTTCAAAAATTATATTCTCTAGTGTTTCTTAAAAACATCAATCTAGATGATCTTCATCATCATCATCATCATCATATAAGCCATTATCCGTCCACTGCTGAACATAGGCCTCCACCATAGACTACCATAAGGAACAGTCCTGAGCCACCTGCATCCACTGACTTCCTGCAATGCATTTCTGGTCGTTACTCCATCTAGGGAGTCGTCCTGTATTGCGCTTGCATGTACGGATTCGCCATTCAAGAACCTTTCTTCCCCATCGGTTGTTGGTTCTTCGAGCTATGCGACTAGCCTATTATCACTTCAGCTTGCTTATCCTTCGAGCTATGTCGGTTATTTTAGTTCTTTTGCGGATATCTTCGTTTTGGATTATATCATGCAAAAAAACTTCGAGCATAGTCCTTTCCATAGCGCATTGACTAATTTGAAGCTTTTTCATAGAGGCAATCGTGTAGGATGGACCATGTTTCGGTTCCGTAAGTCATCACTGGCACACGCACTGGTGAAAGACTTTCATCATTATCATATCAGTTGTTAACTGTCCACTGCTGAACATAGACCTGGCCTTTGAAGGTCTATGTCCAACAGTAAACAGTTTAAGGGTTAATTTGTTATCACAAATTATTTTACCTCGTAAAAATGTATCAATGTTAAGTCCTTTGCTTCGTCTAGTTTTTCTCTTGACACGATTATTGTCGCATTAGTATACGATTTTCTGAAATTAAAAGGGAAAAGTTTAAATTTCTAATATTATATTTCAAATATTTATTAATAATATCTATTAGGTTACACAGAGTATACTCTGTTATGTTCGTGATACTGTTTATGTCTATATAGTTATTACTTTGCATCACGTAGGTCGTCAGCTCATTTGCGATTCCAGTTTGCATAAAAAAAATCCATACATAAATTCTTTCCTTTAACCAAAAAATTTACATTTACTAAATCATCTAAGTATATTGTTTACATACGAAATTGACTTACACACCCCACAAGCCAATATTTTTCCATTTATTTTTTACATTGTTCAAAAACCTCACAAAAACGTAGTCTGCAACTTTTACTTCTATCAAGTTTAGCAAAATATTTACTTTCTAGTTTTATTTTTTTTTGACTCAAAATACTATACTGTAGAACACAATCTATTTTCGCAACTTTGTAGCTTTCAAGTTGTCAGCTGTCCAAGTTCCTCGTAAATAAATGCTAATATAAAACTATTATGTCCTCATACGTACCCATTGACAGCGAACTTGGCTTTTGGTGTTACAACTAATTCCAATTCCTTGAAACCCCCTTCTGTAACATTTTTCATGTATAAAGGTTCTTTCAATTCAGCTACGAATTTCAGTTCTTTTTGTTCTTCATATTCATACTGCAACTCTATTTCGTATATTGCTGTTTCATTCCTATGCAATGGTGTTGGTAAGTTGCATGTCATGTTCAGTTTTTCTAATGTACAAGAACGTGGTACTCTTATTGGAATTAGTGGCATCATCAGGTGTAGCTGTCCACCATATGCTGGTTCCTCTATATTTACAATTGTTATTCTTGCTCCCAATTTCATATTTGCACCAGGAATGTATGGACTGAAAATAATTTCATATTACAAATTCTTCTTGTTTACGGAAAGTATGAAAGTTCTTTATAACGAAATTCGAAAATATTATCTTTGGATTAACTTTTTACTCTCTCTAGCGTCTCTTAAAATTTTTTAAAAATAATTTGTTTATTAATAATTTTCGAATAATAGAAAGTTTATAATTTTTATAATTATAGAATACAAGACTTACCTATCTAATGGTTCTAGTGTCATCTTCAATAATGGTGTACAAAGCAGATCTTTACCACAATCTCCTATCATCTGGGCGAGAAAAGAGGCCTGCAACTTTGAATCCTCTGACAATCTCGTTAGATCTAAATGTACAAAATAATGATAAATTAGTTTTAAGAAAATTTTGTTTATATTTATTTCGGTCCCGAATGGTTCGAAACTAATCGTACATTGTCAAAAATGCATATCACAAATCGATCCAGTTTTTGTTACAGTTAAAATATGATTATAATTAAGATGGTAAGATTCATGGCGTAGTATTCTGAGATAGTGTATTAAATTAAAATCTATAAATATTAAAAATAGAAATTAGTTTTACTGGTAATGTTAGTATTATGGATATATTTTAATTTTAATATATACAAACTGAATAAGTTCTTGTCTATTTCTGTTATTATTATAATTTATTTAGGTTTGAAGGAAAAGAATCTTATATCTAAGAATTCTAGGATTACAGTCCTCAAAAGTACTACCATATGCAGCACTATAAATTAATGAGTTATTTTCTTTTATATATTCTTATCTATAAAATTGTCAATAATAATAAAAATGATAAAACTTACGTTCCATTTTACTAGGTTCCAATAGGTACTGTACTAGTATTGGTTTTGAAAAATCTGCAGATCTCTGCAAACAAAATGATGTTATTTTGTTTGCGTTCTTTAACTGTTACTACACAATTTTACATTTATGTATTACTTACATTAACTTCTAGAATGTGTTCATCACACATATCTATACCAGGTTTTATTGTTATAACTGAGACTGTTTCATCTTCCATGGACGCTCTATTCAATTCTGGATCAATCAGTTTCGTAGCTTTAAAATCTAGGAAAAAAATTACAGAAGAGTAAATTAGAATAACTTACATAATGTTTAACGTTAACTAAAACAATTGTCATTAACAATTTTTTTTATACAACTTAGAATGGCAAACAACCTGACGCCCCACCCGATGGAAAGTGGTAACCGTCGCCTATAGACATGAGCAGTAACATGGATATAACAGTATACTGTTTCGCCCATGATACCCACCTAGCGTTGCCATTCCTGAGGACTTAAATGTTATTCCTCTGTATCCTGTAAATTCACGCCATATCCCATCCTTCAAACCGAAACACAGCCTTGCAAACACAACTGCTTTACGGTTAAAATACGAATGGGATAGAGATACCTAAGCAAACGACTTTTGTACAAAGTCTCCTTTGGTAATTTAATAGCAATTACCACATGGAGTGACAAACAAATAGATAAACTAGCTTTCATACTTATAATATTAGAAAAGATTGACTTTATTGAAAGAAACATAACTCACCAATTTTAATATGTTGCCACGTTTGCGATCTTACAGTCACGCAGAAATATGCAGTAAAATTTGTCGCATCTTCGGGCAAATCCATTAAATCGGGTACTTTAATTGAGGCCTCCACTTTGATTGTAGGAACACACTTTAACAGGTAAGTTGTTTGACTTGCATGAGCTCCTATAGCCACATCTAATGGAATAAATAAAAATACTAATAAAATAATTTAATTTTGATTTAAACCTTAAAGGGCAAGAAATGGGCAGCAGCATTCCTTTTAAAACATCTCTAAAAGCCTAACTGCGGTTGCCAATCTGCCTACCAAGCATGGCAATTACTAATAAAACTCCCTTTATGGGGAAGGTTTATGTTCAACAATGGACAGTTAACGGTTAAAATAATAAAAAAAAATTGATTCTCAAATGATGAGCAACTATCGTATTCTATCGATAGCAAATTATAAAATAAAATACATTAATCATAACAATATAAATTAATAATATAATTTATATTTATTATATATATATTAATATAAATATAAATTAATAATAAGCAACATACAAATGTTTCAACTGTGTTCTAATCGTTTTTAGCTCGATTTATATTGAGAGAATACACGTGTGCTGAATCAATGCAAATTTTTAACTGTAATCCATTGACAAGTGATGGTAACCACAAATACAATAAAGTACATAGAACCGTTGCTGTTGTTGTTGTTACGTCAACCGTTGTTGATGTAACTAACGTTTTTATTATTACCATTATAATAATAACAGTTATATTAACAACAGAAATAGAAATCGGCTTCTGGTCACTTTTATCCCAAGATAATATAGTATCAGAAAAACACATATTAAGACAACAGAATTTGTTTATTATCAAATAATCTTTACCTAATTGTTGATTTTATTTATTTATATCTCTTTATTGCATAAGAAGCATAAAAATATACAATGACAATTGAATAATTCAAGTGGAATACAGTAACATAAAATACAGATTGATATAAATATATATAAAGGTCCAAAAGACGGCAGTCTCTTGCAGAAAAATTAAGAAACTGAAAAGAACAAGCAATACTTACCATTACAAAAATTGTTATCAACGTCATATCCTACAGAAATAGACATGCCAAAACCAAGAGCTTTTTCCATAAGGATCCTTTGTGCATATCGAGTTTTCAATCCTTCAACGCTACCTTGATATATGTAAACAACTCCAGAACCCTCATTTTCCCAAGGTGCACCAACTGCAATATCTAGAAATACAAATAAGAATAAAATTTGATTAGACTACTAAAAAGTACCAAATTATAAAAAATTAAAAAACTTGTCACAAGTAAAGCTGATCAGTCTTTACGAACAGCATCCATTTTGGGGGGAAAATTATTAATAATGGAGACTGAGAATCCATTGCTACCATTTTTCATCCATTCAAAAAAAATGGGGTAACTGGCCTGTTTTCATTCTCATCTATCACCCTTCACTGGTGCTCCGCCAGCGTATCCCGTTAGCGCAGGCGGGGTTACCATACCATTTTTCATCCATCAAAAAAAAACAGCACTCATTCACGAATATTATGGGTGGGTAGGAAGCCAAATTATTTGGCCCTCCATTTATTTGTTTAATTCCAATAATGGTAACAAAGTAACAATACAATTACTGTCAGTTTATCGTTTTCAACTCTGGGATATCATAAAAGGTGCCCAAGGGAACTAACTGACAAATGACGGGGAACTGATGGATTGTTATAATTTAATTATATACAAATAGAAACAGTTGCTGTGTGGTCCCAGCATAAAATGGGCCACCCTTCCCTTTCTCTTGGGTGTTGTAGAGGCAACTAAAGGAACTTAATAGTCAAGGGATGAGTAGCAGTCCTTCTTAAAACATCATCAAATCCTAACTGCGGTTGCCAAATCCCCTGTCAACTGTGGCAACTATTGGCATAACCGCTCATGGGAGAGAATTATATGATTTCCGTAGTCTTGTGTGTAACTTGAGATAGCCCACAGATAATGGTCTACCTGACAGAAAGTAGGAACGTCACCAATAAACTTAAACTATTATGGGTATCACTGGATACACTATGACCCCCATAACAGGGGGAAAGGAATTGTTAGTAATAGGATCAAATAGCCTCATTACTAGCAATATACCCTGTCAGGTCGACCTCCACGTGGCTCCCCCTGGAAACCATCGTGGTTAATTCTAGTTGAATTCGTCAGGATGTAGCCTATCCTCTGATCTATCCTGACGAATTCAACTAAACAAAAGCAACTGAAATGCTTTCATCCTCATTAGTCATCTGTCACTGGTGTTCCGCCATTGTATACCGATAGCGCAGGTGGGGTTACCATACCATTATCACCCATTAAATAAAGCCCCCATGTCATTCATCATTTGTTAACATAGATACCATAAGTCTTACCATCATAACCATCTCCATCGACGTCACCAAGGCTGGCTATGGACATTCCAAAACGTGACCCGCTGTGTTCTGATCCTAACACGGAACCAGACTCTTCTAAGGAAAACGTACCATTCTGTAAATAAATAAAAACATTAGAAGAATTGTTCTCAATTTTTTTTTTTATTTTTATTCTACTGAACTAGTAGTGTAATAGCATGATTACTTCAGAACGACTGCATTTATTTGACTAATTCTTTTTTTGTTTTTTGTAATTCAACAAAATTTGTATAATAGAAAATGTTTCTAAAATCATATGGAAAATTTGGGTTCAAAAATCTCTTAAAAAAAAAGCAGTAAGTAAATACTGTAAAATAAAAATTTGGTTTAATTTTAAAAGGGGAAACCCTTTAAAAACTGTACTAAAGTAATTAGTAGATACCAAAACCGGGTAGGCAACTAGTTTTTAATATACTCTTATTATGTTACTACATACTAAATAGTTGTAATTTTTGTAACCATTTCATTTATTCATTTATTACTAAACACTTTTTGTTAATTTTTTTTTCTATTTGTTTTCATATCAAAAGTTTTCACTAACCTTGGCATGGTTTAAATAGACGAAAACTGCGCCCTGGTCAAAGTTCAATCCGCCATCTTTCTTGACAAATGTAGGAGCTCCTATTAAGAGGTCCAGTCTGCCATCATTATTAATATCCACGCAGCAGAGAGAAGCCCCGAAGTATGCACCAATTTGGGGTCCAATGATCTTCTGTCTTATATTATATGGTTGTGTTTCTTGTGATGGAGGGTCAAATATTAGAACCTGGTTGAATACATATTATTGAATGAAAACCCTATTAAATGAGAAAACTAAAAAAAGCTGTGTTTTTTTTTATTAATTTACTCTTTTTTTATTTATTTAGGTTGACCGACAATTGTTTCTACAAGATAGTGTATTTATACAATCATAAAGATTGTATACTTAGAAATAATTGTAACAATTTGTATAGGTAAACATAGCATATATTGATACAGACAGGGAGACTGTACAAAAGTCGATTGCTTGGGTACCTCTGTTCTATACGTTTCAACCGTGAAGCAGCTGTGTTTGCATGGCTGTGTTTCGGTTTGAATTTACTGAATACAGAGGAATAACACCTGAGTCCTCAGGAATGGCAACGCATGGGGGGTATCATGGGAGAAACAGTATACTCTGTTATGTCCATGGTACTGCTCATGTCTATAGGCGACGTTTACCACTTTCCATCAGGTGGACCGTCAGCTTGTTTGCCAATCTAAGTTGTATAAAAAGAAAAAACATAGAAATGTTTAATTTCTAGTTAATCTTTGGAAAAATAGAAATGTTATTATGCGGTTAAAAATATTGAAAATTACTTGAGTTGTTCAAATTTGACAAAATGACTAACAAGAGAGTGGAAAAGAGAGGATTATCAAAAAAGATTCAAATTTGACGATAGCAATTATGTACATAATGGATAACTTTAGATTATATACATTATTCCAAATCACAGTCTTTTTAACATCATTTATGACTTATTTATGTAACTATTTAAATCATTGTTCATACCAAAAAATTTAGTCTATATGAATTTTCCGAGAACTTCCTATTGATCTTCATTAATTTAAATATATGAGAAAATATTATCTTAACAGGTAAAGCTTGTAGTTTAGTTTTTCATTTCACCTTCCACTTATTAAGTGATTATAACTAGATGGCGCTACGTTTATTATTAAAAGATACAACTATAATTTATCAATGTTATTATTAATAATAATTATTACTAATATTATATCTATAACATACATAATATTATATTATTTCTATATTTATGCACAATGAGAACATTATTATCATTTATTAGCAGATTTCAAAAGATATTGTTTAAGCTAACAATAGATGGCGCTTTCAATAAAACTCTCCTGATCTATAATTTAATAAGACTTAATTAAACATTAAATTACGAGCATAGAACAGTATAATTATTTGTTTTTATATATTTATGCTACATAGGAATTTATTGATCAAAATCATTTACCTGACCCAGTCCATTTTTGGACCTCGGCGCCGCCCCCACATAAAGTACTGTATCATTCTCTTCAAATACGCCTGTTTCAACGCTATATCCTAAACAAATATATATATAATTATTCTCCTTAGATTTTATAGATAGAGCATCGAGTTTAAAAAACGGGCCAACTTTTTGTCAGCTAATTGTCAAATTAGCTGACTTGTTTTTTTTTAATTTATATTCTATATTACTCACGCACACGATATATCTATTTTTAATTATTTAATAAATAAAATTAATTTTTGTGCATTAAAAAGGTACAAAATTCATAAGACAAATATAGAAGTTATAAAGGAATCACTCATAACTATTTATTCAGCAAAATTGTATAAAAAAGTTGACTCGCTTTTCTAGAAGCATTTGTATGGAGCCACTATCTATATAATGTAAGTTATTCTCCTATCTTATTAATATTATATATTTCACATTATTACATGTATCATATCTCTATATTAAGAAATAATAGAATTTCATTGTGCCTCCGATCAAACTGTTTACTCCTCTCCATCCAAAGGTTGCCTGAAAGAGATCGCTTTTAGCGATAAGGTCGCCCATTGTTTTCTCATTGTGATTATTTCTTGTAATTATTTATATTTATAATAAGTTTACTATTGTAATCTTTTGGAGGAAACAATAAAGAGTATCTATCTATCGATATTTTTTTATTATTAAGTGTGATTGTATGTAAAGAAAATGCTTAAACGACTGAACATATTTTAAGGGAATTTAGTACTTACTCGAGTTATAAGGAAAAATATGTACTTTAATCTCTCTTGGCTCACGATCGTTTATATTAATTTAGAATAACTAAATTGAATAGTAAAAATATATTTGATTTTTGGCCATGTATTTACAAAATACATTTATCACATGTACTTATAAAAAACGAGCTTGTATTATTAGATTTATGAATGTGGAGGCAAAGAATCATTTTCACGTTCTTTTTTTCCATTGTTTGTAATTATCCAAATGGTAGTAAAGCGTAATATGTATATATATATATATATATATATATATATATATATATAATATAGATATATAATATAGATAGAGTACCAAATCTCAAAAACGTGTCGTGTTTTTTTTTTTTTTTAATCTTTTGTACACATCTTTTTTAAAAATTAAATAATTTTGTGTCTTTTGTTTGTGTGCAAGTAATTATGAAAAAATTATCTATCTATCTATCTATCTAACATTCAAAACCTTTTCATTCATACTGACTCAATTTGACACACGTTGTTTATAAATATAAAAAAATAAATATTAATTAATAATTAAAAAAAAATTGGTTCATTACAGTGAATTTAAAAAAAAAAAAACTGGCATATTATAAGTCTATGTTTTTGTGATATAATCTTTAATTAAAGATTGTCATATTAAGTTTGAAATATATATGTATTAATTAAAATGGCGATCATTTTCAATCATTTTAAAACGCAAACACATTATAAGTCTATGCTTGGATATAAATCAAACTAGTAATGATAAACATCATTACGAATCATTATACACTGTTTATCTTGTTCTTTGAAATATATTCGCAAAATTTTGACGTTTTTTTTTTCAATTTAACCTGAAAATTTTCAATATATATAATTTTTTATATATATTTTATATTAATTTGCCAGATGGAGACTTTGTAAAAAAGTCGTTTGGACAACCAGTCCTATTCATGTTTATACCGTGAAGCAGTTGTGTTTGCATGACTGTGTTTCGATTTGAAGGATGAAATATGGCAGTGAATTTACAGGGTACAGAGGAATAACACCTGAGTCCTCAGGATTAGTAATGCATGGGACAATATACTCTGTTATGTCCATGGTACTGTTCATATCTATGTTTTTGTTACAGCTTGTTTGCCACTCTAAGTTGCATAAAAAAGTCTAATCTTAAATTAAAATTATCTACAAAAGCTAAATAATTATACTCACCGAAATAATCGTCTGGTTGTAAGTCATAAGTGTAGAATGGGTTCGTAACTTGTTGTTTTTTAAACAGCACACTATTGTCTATTTCACTTTTATAATCGACTATTCCACCTGAAAAAAAAAATAGATAAAATAAGTGTCAAAATATCTACGACTTTATCCGCTAGAGGCGCTGTTTCTATTTTCCCGCCAATCATAGAGTAAATCATTACGTTATTAAAAAGTCGGCACTAACTTTATATTGGCGGGGAGAAGGGATTGTTAGCAATGGAGTTTGACAGCCCCATTGCTAACAATATGCCCTATCAGGTCAACCTCCACGTGGTTCTCCCTGAAAACCATTGTGAACAATTCTTGTTGAGTTCCACACGATGGGCTAACTAACCTGCTTTCATTTTGACCTATCATCTATCACTGATTCCTCACCAGTGTATACTTACATCGCAGGTGGGGCACCCATTCTATTTTTACCCATTAAAAAATCTACCCTAATCCCCTCCATTTTTACCAATTAAAAAATCCCCCATAAACAAAATAAATACTTGCCAGTCCACTGTGAAAGACCCGGCGCACCCATAATAATATGGTTGTTCTCCGACACCTTCAGAGACATGCCAAGTTGCGCATACGCATAGTAATTCGCTGTGGCATCATATTCAGGTCTAATGTTGTGTGTGCTGAAAGCTTGTTTGTCTGAAATATAGTGAAAAATATGTACCTATATATTGAAGAAAAAATATATTAATGAATAGATAGATACCGTTTATTGTTTCTTCCATAAGATTACAATAGCAAACTTATTATAAATACAAACAATTACAAGAAAATATTACACTAAGAAAACAATGGGCGACTTTATTACTAACGATTATTTCTTATACTATGTACGTATATGTAAATAAGTAAAAATATTTTCCAGACGGTAAAGTATTTTTATATTCTTTTTTTATACCCCTATAAATAACTTTTCCCAATATTTTTTTTTTATTGAAAGTAGTCCAAATGAGTTGCTTATATATAGTATTCACTGTATTATTAAAAAAAATATTACTTACACATATCTTTGAGGGGTTGATAAAACACTTCCCTTGTACTGGAATGTACATAGCAAACGCCGTTTGACAACAAATGTGTCTGCTTATACGGTCTGGCAGAGCGTGGCGCACAAATCTGTAATTTGTATATAAAATTTTAAAAAGTATTTAATGCTACTGCAGGGAATTACTTATATTAATATCATTAGTACATTACTGCAGCGGCCAGCAACTGAGGCATTGATGGACGAACGTACAAATGTGGGCCGAGGCATAGCCGAGGCACACATACGTGAGTCCATCAATGCCTAGTTGTGGCCAAGGCTTGTATAGTATTTTTCTCAAACAATGCGCGGAAATCAAGAACACTTTTTAAGTTCAATGACGAATAACAAACAATAATAATTTTTCACGCGCCATAATATTCCTTTGTTTTTTTTTCAATAAACAGCTTTCTATTTGCAAGCCAGATCGAAATTTAAATAAAACCTTTTATTAGTTACCTCCTTGGTAGCCGTGTTTCGAAGTAAAAGATCATTCCATTTTTTAATTACAGGACAGATATGAGTTTACATAGTAATTTATCTGGCCGCAAAACACGACATATATGGATTTTCATACAACTTTTGCCGGCCGCTGCCCGCATGTATCTGGCCAGTACGGCAATTTTGATTTATCTCGAAGAAGATTGTCAAAATAATGCTCACATTTCCAAGCATGTTTGAGAAAATTATATTTTCTATTGCCCAAGACTTTGCGCGTGGTGTTGTCAATTGTACATGGTACTATTCATGTCTAACTTTTTTAATCTAACATTTATTAGTCAGCCGTTTGAATAATTTGCTCTGAAACCATTTTAAACAGAGAAAAGTAACTGGATTAGGTAGTTTCTTATATATTTTTATGTAATATGAATAACTTTAAATTTTTGCTAATATAAGTTTTCCGGGATGTCTTACAGAAAGGCTATAAAATTATCTTTTTTATAAACAGGTATGAATGCATTTTCAAAATTTTATAAAGTGAATTTACAGAGTACAGAGAAATAACACCTTAGTCCTCAGGAATAGCAACGTACGGGGGTATCATGGGCGAAACAGTATACTCTGTTATGTTCATGGTACTGCTCATGTCTATAGGTGACAGTAACCACTTTTTATCAGGTGGACCGTCAGTTTGTTTGCCATTCTAAGTTGTATAAAAAATTCATTTAAGTTTAATTTTAATTTAATTTAAGTTTATCCATATTACAAAAAGATTACTAGAGATTATAGATACTGCATATTTCTGCGTGACTGTAAGATCGCAAACATGGCAACATATAAAAATTGGTGAGTTATATTTCTTTCAATAAAGTCAACCTTTTCTAATATTATAAGTATGAAAGCTAGTTTATCTATTTGTTTGTCACTCCATGTGGTAATTGCTATTAAATTACCAGAGGGAGACTTTGTACAAAAGTCGATTGCTTGGGTACCTATGTTCCATTCGTGTTTTTACCGTGAAGCAGTTGTTTGCATGGCTGTGTTTCGGTTTGAAGGATTGAATATGGCAGTGAAGTTACAGAGTACAGAGGTATAATAGCTTAGTCCCGTAGGAATAGCAACGCATAAAGGATATCATGGGCGAGACAGTATACTCTATTATGTCCATGGTGCTGTTCATGTCTATAGGCGACGGTTATCAAATTCCAATCATGCATAAAAAAAAAAACATTCCGATGTCACAATAAATGTTTACTTCTCACATAAACAAAATGTACAATAAATTTTACGTATACTTTTTCTTTTATCAATAATATTAATAAATTATTTATTACCCATAACTTTCCTTTCTTTACTACTCCCATGGTCGCGCCAAACCACATGTCGTCTACATAGAAATTTCTTGTAATACGCATATCTGAAACAGGCAACACTTTATATGTATAAATAATATTATATATATATATATATATATATATATATATATATATATATATTAGATATATAGATTTAGCGATTTCGGTTTTTTCGATATCCAAAAGTTTACTGTTGTAACCTTTTGGAGGGAACAATAAATAGCACTATATCAGTCTATCTATCTATATCCTATTAAAAAACTATTCATACGACAACTTCATACAATATATATCGAAAATAGAAAAGGAAAATAAATCTATTAAACATCATTTTTAACAAGACCGGACCTACAACAAATCCAGATACAGGGGACACATCTGGGGGCACCGCTCAGAACACCCAGACCCGGGACCTTATATATATATATATCAGTTAAACTTTTAGATTATAATTAGTTTATGAATTAGTAATTAATTTACATATAGAAAGAGATTTTTATCATACTAATTTTCATAAAGTAAGTTAATTACTTCCTTATTGGTTTTTTTTTGATGGGTAAAAATGGTATGGTAACCCCGCCTGCGCTAACAGAATACGCTGCCGGAGCACCAGTGAATGGTGATACGAGTAGATGAGAATGAAAACAGGCCAGTTAGCCCATCATGATGGATTCATCAGGAATTAACCATGATAGTTTCCAGAGAGAATCGCCAGGATGTCGACCTGATTGGGTATGTTGCTAGCAATGGGATTCTCAGTGTCCATTACTAACTTCCTTATTGGTTATACCGTTAAGACGCTATAAGGTAACCAAAAAAAAAACAAATAAACAAACTCACTTTCACATTTATAATATTAAGTAAGGATTCATTTCTGCTTGCAACTTCATATGCAGGGAAATATTTTAAATTGGTGTTGCCATTAAAGTGCAGAGGCTGACATGCAAAATATTTATAATTAATAATAGATTTATGTTTTTTTTTCTTTAATAAGAATTTAAAAATATCATAACTATAATAATCCTTCATAATAATATATATACATATATTGTATATAAAAACAAAATGATATAAAAATAAAAAAACATGTTAGCAAATTGTCGAAAACTTTAAAAATATGAATTAAAATCATCAAATATAAAAATAATCTTTCTTTAATAGCATGAGGTAAATTTGAAATTAAAAAAAAACTGTATTACTTATCAAGAAAAAATACACAACAAATTATAAGTTAGATCTTCAGAAATACAATTGTCAAAGCCGCACTCAAATTGAACAAACATACAGACTGACAGATAGGAAGATAAAAATCCTAAAACTTATTGTTTTACTACACTAACCTATTGCTCTTATTAAATCTCCTCATATCAATTTCTCTCTCAAATCTTTACTACGTACAAAGATTTTTTATTGACTTTAAAGGTTGACTGGGAGAGAATGCTATATAGTATTAAGTCCGCCTTTTGTACCAGACATTTTTTTTTGTAATGTGGTCAATAAAGCATAAATAAATAAATAAATAAATAAACATTTTTTATTTATAATTCTATTATGTTGGGGGGAAAGGGATTGCTAGCAATGGAGTTTGGCAACCCCATTGCTAGCAATATTAGGTCAACCTCCACATGGTTACCTCTAGAAACCATCGGGAAAAATTCTTGTTAAATTCGTCACAATGGGCGAACTGACTTGCTTCATCCTGACCTATTATCCTTCACTGGTGCCCCGCCAGTGTATACCGATAGCGCGAGTGGGGTTGCCATTCCATTATCACCAATTAAAAAAAATCCATTATGTTAGTAAGATTAGTAAAATAAAACTAGTATAGTAAGTAGTAAGTCTAAACTAACTTGTGATTAACGGTGCGCAGGTAACGTTATGTCTATCCAAATCGTTCAATGGACAGACAAACACTAATCCAGTGCTTATTGACGAGTTACTTCTATTCTTCGCTTTCGGCGCTCCGACGTGCAGGCTGGAAACGATAAAGTATTAGCTGGTAAGATTTCTTAGCGATCGGCAACGCGTCTGTAGAATCTCTGGTGTTGCAGGTAGTGTGTGTGTGATCGTTATGCTCTGTGTGCTGTTGTTATGCTCCGTGTGTTGTTATGTTATGTACTGTTGTTATGTGTTGTTGTTATGCTCTGTGTATTGTTGTTACGTTCTGTGTATCGTAGTCAGGCTCTATATGTCCTTATATGCTGTGTATGTCTTTGTTATGATCTGTATGTTGTTGTTATGTTCTGTATCTTATTGTTATACTTTGTGTATTGTTATTAAGTTTTGCGTGTTGTTGTCATGCTATATATGTTCTTTATGTACTCCGTATGTTGTTGTTATGCTCTGTATATTGTTATTATGCTCGATGTGTTGTTGTGTTGAAGCTTCGGTGTGGTGTTCTGTTATTAGTTACGGAAACCGTTTACTACCGTTTAGACAGGCCGTATACTTAATTGCCTCGTTGGCAATTTGACTTTAGTGGAAATTATGAGTTTTAGAATAACCTATATTACTTAATTAATTTATTAAATAAATAAATAAAGGCCACTAGATATTTCTTATGGATAATGATAGAATAGTATACACTATCGGTATACACTGGCGGAGCACCAACGAAGGATGACAGGTAAGAGACAAAGTCAGACCAGTTAACCCATCGTGACAAATTTGCCAGAAATTAACTACAATGGTTTCCAAAGGGGACCGTGTGGAGGTCGACCTGATAGAGAATATTGCTAGCAATGGAGCTGTTAATCCCTAAGTAGAGCTTGTACTCTAGTTATCAGACAAATGATTTATATACAAGTATCTTGTTTTTATAAATACATACATATCGTATATAAAAAAATACCAAAACCAATTGAGAATGAGAAACTTATATGTGTATAATATTGTATATTGTACATTGTACTTTGTGTATTGTATTGTACATTGTACATTGTATATTGTACAGCGATCGAACCTGCGACCATTGAAATGTAAGGCGTTATGTCAAATCGTTACACGAACAAGGTCGAGTAGCTTTATGACTCATTGTAAATATAGTTTAAATACATCCAAGTTGTCTATAGCCACAGATAATATAATACTATACTAGTAACTATATTAATATTGTAAAGAGGAAAGATTTTACTGTTTGTTTATGAGAAATAGGGTACATTCTAACCCGATAACAAATAATGGACTAGATAGATGTTCTTGATTTGTATTTTCGTCTAGTCTCCTATCATAAAATCGTTATCAAAAAAAAGCTTGTAAATTTTTAAGGAACTTCAAAAAGAAGGTTTTTTTTTATGTTTGTTTGTAACTCGGTCAATTCTTAACTGATCTGGAAACTTCTTGGTCCCATAGAAATTTCATCAAAATCGGATAAGTAGTTTTTTTTTTAATAAAATAACTGGTTTTATCACAATTAAAGTCGTTTTTTTTTGTGGGACACAATATATCATTACGACGATCCATATTGCAGTCTGTAGGGTTCCCGTATTAATTTCATATTAATATTAAAACAGCGAACGGTGGTATTTTGTGGAACAAAAACTTTATGCAACTTGAGATGGTAAATTAGGTAATGGTAAGTGATGATCATCGCTAAATAAATAAATAAATTGTATAATAAATATAGTGGCATCTAAATTATATTTATTCTATTTACTGACGTTGAATAATAACTATCGTGAGTCATACTGTATTGTAATTATTTATGTTAGCTTTACTCACGTTTTCTTCTATCGAGTTCTTATGAATAAATTCTTCATTAGGATTACTTGGACCCATACTTTTTTTTTTACATATTATTATATGTATTTACAGATTTTTTTGCAGATTACGACATGCAACACAACACAATAGTTCGCGTAGAATCTAGCCTACCAACCTGCCAACATGGCCAGGGCGCAGTTTTTTTATTTTTTTATTTTATGGATGATAGTGTAATGGTAATCCTGCGCACGCTATCGATTTACACTGGCGGGTCAACAGGGAGAGATGATAGGTGAGGATGAAAGCAAGTCAGTTAGCCAACCGTGATGAATTCCACAAGAATTAACCACGATGGTTTCCAAGGGGAACTACGTGGAGATCGACCTGATTGCGTATATTGCTAGAAATGGGGCTGTTTGTTAGGCCCCATTACTAACGATTCCTTTCCCCCAACTTCAGGATGTAGGTAGTTGGGGCTGGCCCGCACTTTGCAGAGCAGGGACGTAGACCGTTTCCAAATACTGGTATAATTTAAAGTCTAAATAATTAATTATAACATATTAAATATTCCTGTTTTTGTTAAAAGAGGGGAGTTAAAAGTTTTACGTGTGTGTATGTGGCATAGAAGCTACTAAACGAATGGACCGATCGTGATGCGGTTTTTTTGTTTGAAAGCTGACGTGTCGAGATGGTTTCTAGCTACCTTTTATGATTCATCTATGAATATCTGTTCAGGCGTTTTGTTAAAATTTTTAATTTTATTATTAGTATTTTACGTTTATATATATATATTTTTTTTATTTTTTATTATTGTTTATTCTTATAAAGACAGTGTGAACAGTTTTGCATTGAAAATTCATTTCTAAACTGCTTTCTGAGTGGGATAAAAAGTAACCTATATATTATTTTCCGTCTCAAATACCATGTGAAGGTAGACACATAACTTTATGATGATTGACTAACCCGTGAAGGCGCAAAGTGGTTACCATAAACAAACCATAATGCATTCATAATAACGATTGGTTCAAATGTTAAACAGTAAAAAATAATAATATAAATAAACATACTACGGTTTTACGTTTATAACACTATAAAGTCTGCTGTTACCTATAAGTTTTCAAGAATTAATACATGTATAAATTTGTGAAATATAAATAATAAAAAAAATAACTATTTAAGTAAATTTATATGGTTAAATGATGCCGTGTGGTCCTGGTATAGTGTTCTATGCCAGGGTGTGGTAACAAGGGATAGCCTATTAGCTACTCCTTCCTTTCCCGTGGATGCTGTAAGAATGCGACTAAGTGAACTTTATTCTCGAGGGATAGACAGGATTGTCAGTCTTAAAACATCTCCAACGCCTAACTAAGGTAACCCGCCTGCCAAAGGTGGTAGCATCCCTCTTAAGACACCACGAAAGTCTAACTGCGATTGCCAACTCACCTGCCAAGCAACTACTGGCAAAACTCTCAACAGAAAAAAAAACCTATGGTTAAATAATATATATGGTTAAATAATGCTTACCCTAACTCACTCAAAAGCACCGAGTAACCGAAATACTCCGACTGACTGTCAGGATAAAAAACAATTTTTTGTTCTTCATTAAAAATACCTTCATAAAACGTCACTGTCTCACAAAAAACGATATTTAACCAGTAAAAAATCAATAAAAACATAACAAATATCGCCATACTATTAAATAAAAATATCGTACAATTAACCTATAAAATGATTATAACAAATTTTATTATAATTAATTAACTATATAGCAATAAAAACAAACAGTCATGCCCGACGCACACTTTGTAACTAACTGGACGTACGTAGCTACTATCAGACTGATAAGTGATTCATATTGTATGTAATTTTGAATTTGTCGGTGACTCACAAAAACAAAGGTCCCCAGTTGCAATTAGACAAAGCAAAATACATTATGAACGCTTTTAACTATAATATTGTTAAAATAATAATTAATTAAGCAGACTGTTCCTGTTAAAACATTGTGTAGGCATTAGCTTTGGATCTACCAGTAAATTATAATATTTTTCATTCCATTATGGAAACGAATCGTGGGTATGGCAGAAGAAGCATGAAATTAAGATAAATGCTGTAGAGATGAGAGCTTTGAGAAGTATGTGTGGTATTACATTAAAAGATAGGGTAAGAAACAGTGTGATTAGAGAGAAGTGTTGTTTGAAAGACGATGTAGTGATAAAAATCGAAAAAGGAATGTCGCGTTGGTTTGGTCATTTGGAGAGGATGGATGAAATAAGAATTACGAAAGAGATTTATCAAGAAAGAATGAATGGAGATGTCGGTAGAAGTATAGTCCATGGTAGTAGTTGCCACTATTGGCAACTACTACCATGGACATAACAGAGTATACTGTTTCGTTCATGATACCCGCCATGCGTTGCCATTCCTGAAGACTCGGATGTTATTCCTCTGTACCCTAAAAATTTACTGCCATATTCCATCCTTCAAATCGAAACACAGCCTTGCAAACATAACTGCTTCACGGTAGAAACACGAATGGAACAGAGGTGCCCAAGCAAACGACGACTAAAATAAATCTTTTCAAGGCAACCTTAGGGCAATGGACTCATTGTTGTATAAGTAGGTATGATAATATTGTAGAATTAAGAAAGTTACCCGTGTACAAAATTAAGAAAAATAATTATAAGTATTTATTATGAAATAAAAAAAAAAATTCCGTTTTATTGGTATATAATACTTTAAAAGGATTTGAATTTCACTCAGTAAATACAAAAATCAAATGACTGAGTGAGTGAAGCCACACTCATAACCTACAGCCTAGATGGTCGCGTACAATGCGATTTCAAAGACGTTTTTTCCTACGAACTGAGGTTATGAATTGAGCTCCCTGTCGAGGTTATCTCAAGAGACTACAGCATGGGGTTCTTCAAAGGTAAAGAGGTTTCTTCAGGGTCGGCAATGCGCGTATAATACCTCTGATATTGCAGGCGTTCGTAGGCTTCGGTAACTGCTTACCATCAGGTGGGCGGTATGCTTGTTTGTCACCTCAAAATGCAGATGGAACAGCCAGACCTAGACATGAAATTTTATATAGGAGTTCCATATGTTACTTAAAGTGAGTAGTGAGAAGGTATTTATCCGAACACCCACAGGAATTTTTATATTTACTATTTGGCAGTTTAACAGAGTTGAAGTAGATAAAACCTCAGGAAGTAATTAGTTTAAAATAATTGTCGCTTATCAAGAACGCTGCAAACTGTACTTATATTATCGGATACTGTACTTATATTGTTATATCTCTCATCCTATCGACGCTTGAACGCCGATTTGAAATAATAACACACTATTTTATAATAAAAAAAAAATAGCATAACAGTATCACGACTAAAGCATTCGTTTTTTTTTCGGACACAATTATACATTTAAATCATACTATATCAGGCACTTTGAATAAAAAAAAGTTCAATGTAAATCTATGCAACTAGTTCACTGAATTTGAAAATTTTGCATTATAGTTATTTTTTCATTACGTCTATCGATGTCGTTATTTTGGATTATAATCACATTTTTAGACAAAAACTTGTTATATATCATTGTACGACAGTATGAATATTCTTTATTCTATATTGTACAAAAATATACTGTTAAAAACAATTAATTTTAAAGTAATGCACAAAAACGAGCTCATGACTAATAAGGGATTTCTTACAGCAAACAATAAAAATAGGCAGTCATACGATTTGTGTACATTGTATATATATATATATATATATATATATATATATATATATATATATATATATATATATATATATATATATATATATATATATATATATAGTCTATTCTTGGCGATTCTCTTATGTAAAATGGTAGAATATTCCATAATCGAATGGATATAACTGTGAAGGAATTTCCTAAAGACTGTATATGATGTGATTTTTAGAAGTAGTCATGTTTGACGACGAAGGGTTCATTTATTTTATTGCGTTGATACTTCTAGATGGTTACATAGTTCATTTTCTAGTTTCGCCAGTATAAAAGGAGTGATGAATCTTAAATAATGCAATATTATCATTACGCGACAATGCAAAATGGTCAAATAAATAAATAAATAAAAGGAAGGGTTCTGTTATCAAGCTGACAAACGATATACTTAGAGAAATGAAATCGGCCTCAATATAGATTATATTATTTTGTTTATGTTTTACACCAAAAAGCCCAAAATTAGACCAGTCGTTTCGATATAATTTACATCTTCAATACATGACACTGGCAGAAATGGTCGTAAAAACAACGACCGATTGCTATTAAAGAAAAGAAGAAGAAAATGCAAAATACATAATAATAAGTATTTATAATATTATTCTTTATAATAATAATTATTGTATTGTTACGAAAATACCTACTTAATTGCTTTAATTTATTATAAATATATATTTTTTTAATAATTTGATTACTCGGTGTGTAGGTTTTATGCATCATTGTATATATATTTAGTTTTGCATATTAAATAAACAACGTCCATTTAATAACACACATTATTCTGGAAATTTTTATGAGAATAACGGGGATTGTTTTTAAGGAAATTCCACTGTTGGGACTGCGCGGATGTTATATCCCGTTTTGATAAGTATTGTGAGAATCACATTTTTAATCTTATCATACTCTTACTTACTAATTAAATCATAAAAAGATAACATGGCAATGGGCTGGTTACATAGCTTGAAGAACCAACAACCAATGTGGTTCTCAACTGCAGTTAGGCTTTGGAGATGTTTTAAGAGGGACGCTGCTGCCCATCCCTAGCCCTCCGTTAGTAACCCTTACGACACCTACGGGAATGGAAGGGGTGGCCCATTCTATATCGGGAGTGTATGTCCCGATATAGAATGATAAATTTATCAATTAACTTTACGGTATGAACACTCTTAATAAAATAGTTATAGTATAATATAATTTTTTTTTTATTTTACAACACAGGGGCAAACGAGCATGCGGCTCACCTGATGGTAAGTGACTACCGCCGCCCATGATCACCCACAACACCAGCGGCATTGCAGGTGTGCTGCCGGCCTTTTAAAAAGGAATATACTCTTTTCTTGAAGGTTATGTTGTCGTATCGGTTCGGAAATACTGCTGCTGGAAGTTGATTCCAAAGAATGGTTGTGCGTGGAAGAGAGTGCCTTGAAAAACGCACGGTGGAAGACCGCCGTGAATAACTATGTATCGGTAACATACGACGATACCATTATCTATTTATCATATATATATATATATATATATATATATATATATATATATATATATATATATATATATATATATATATATAATTTCCTTCCTGCACGCTCGCACGCTCGACATTGTCATTGAATACACTCTGACGTATGGTTTGTTAAAAATGACAGTCTATTTAATAAAAAAAAAAGCTTAGCAAACGCGTATTTCACGAGATTTTATTAAAAATTCAATAACTTTAACTTTTAACGTTAGAAATAAAAATTTATATATCATTGTAAAGCTGAAAGAGTGTTGTTTAAGAACATATCGGCCATTTTATTGAGTTCTTCAAAAACTATAATTATTTTTCAAAATGAAAGTAGAAAATTATGATGAATGATGGATAGACAAAAAAGGGTTTAAGAATGTTTAAAAAATACATAAGTAATTTATTTTTTTCAAAAACTTTTATTTTCTGATATAACAAGTAACTCCCCATTGAAGGTTATTTGGCTACCAACTTACGAACTACGTACAACATCGTGTACTTCGATGTCGGTTACACATGGATGTTTTGCATTCACTGCATACTACTTGTATTTTGGTTTTTATTCCTAATGAAGAATGAAAATATGTCTTTTTTCTAAATCAATAACTCCTTCGCACGCTACTTCGTCCGCAACTTTACCTAACAGTCTTTGAATACTCTTTTTTATCCGCAAATGTAGTTAAGGACATTCGTAACGTCTTTGGAGATGAGGTTTCGTCAGATCGTGGCAGGCTCGTCCAATAAATTATTGTTAAAATCGTTTGCTGACATTTCTGTAACGTTTTTTTATTCGTAACTATCATTTATGTCATGTTCAAAAGCCATAAAACTCGAAAATTCCGTTTCTTACTGACTAATTTAGCAAGAATTGATTTTTTTAATATGCTTAATAAACAATTACATTTGGTAAAGGAGGAAATTAATTCAAGTTTTACTTAGCAATAATGTTAATTATAATACACAAAAAATTCAAATTCACATTTACAAATTAATAAAATATACCGCACTAGGTATTGAGGGTCTCTGCGACCCAAAGTAAAATGTTTCGATGCTTATAGTTTGAAAACTAAGATGAATATAAAGATGAAACTAATTCCATTCGTCTTTTGAAGGTCCAAACTAAAATATTGTGGTAGGAGATGCTGCTGAGAGCTGTACACAGTTCCTTCATAGTGTACCTGAAATCCGCCGAACTACCGGCCGGACCGTTGCGACCCACTATACCCGTCAGGGGTTAAGATTGCAATCCACATTGTTGCTATATTTATTATTGGTTCAATTAAAATGGTTTTTTGTTTTTTTTTTTATTTAACCAGTTATTTTAATTTATAAAATACTAAACAAATTTTTACTAAAGTTTTTATGGAACCAACCTGTAAATATATCTTTTAAGGTGAAAAAAAATTTTTTTTTTTTTAAATCAGTTTACAATTGATGAAGTTATGAGGTAACAAGTATAAAAGAGAAATACGAACGAATTGACAACCTCCTTCTTTTTGATGTCTGTTGAAAATTGATTCACAATCCAGACTAACCCGTGTGCGAG